GGCCTCAGGGTTCCTCTAAAGCTAGTGAGTTCCTGAATTCCTTTCTGCAATCCTTCTGTTCATTTTTATTTTCATTCCAATTCCATAGCTATGTTTTTTTACCAATAGGTCCTTTGTTATTTTCATAATTCTTTGAGTAGCCATTGTCTAATTGTGAACTGATGCATAATCAAATGCTTAGATTAGCCAACTGTAAATCTCTAGAGTAGAAGACTGGCAAGACTAACAATCAAAAGCTTTCATTTTTGAGGTCTGCTTTCTTTTCTCTATAAACCAACTTTTAGATTTTGAGTATGATTTTTTTTTTCTTTTGTGTTTTTCTTTGTTCAATTCAGTTTTGTTCAACTATGTTCCTTAAACTAATTACAAGCAATCTAATTTTCCTGATCTGAAACCAAAAAAATATCATAATGAGTGGAGGGAATTTTCACACTAGGGACCCAACCAGATGAGTAGTCCTCTCTTTGAATTGTTGAGGCTCATAAACAGATTTAGCTATTCTACAGCCATGTAGTTTTCGAATTATGACCACATTTTGAGGTGCAAGTTTACTGGTATTTAGACATTTGTCTTGCTGATCAAAGTCTTGTCCTGTCTCGGACTGCCAGTTTAAGTGGTCTGCCCTACAAAGGTCGGTTGTGAAACAAAAATCATCTTTTAATTAAGATTTGATTTTATTGACACATTTTCAATCATGGTTGTTGAAATTTCTTCAGGGTTACTGTGCCAAATGCCTGATCTGTTGTGCAAACTGAACTGTTATTTCTTCGGTGGCTCTCTCTTGTTAGAACCTACACCAGAGTTTCTCTAGGTTTGTCTTGTTACTTTGAAGTCATATGTGCCTTTAATCAATTTCTAAATTTGATCAGTTTAATTTCATATTGAATCATGACTTTAAACAAAGAATTTATTCCATTTCAGGTTAGAGATTATGGTGTTTTTGCGACTTGCTACTTTGCAAACTGTTAATGATGAAATCTGGAGTCTGGACTCCTTATGACTTTGTGAACTTCAACATTTTGAGAACATGCTTTTCCCATTGACAAGAGCATTGCAGCTTCACTAGCATAAACCATGGCTGCAGTCCTTTCAATTTTTCTTGGAACGTACAGATCCTGGTGCCATAGATTTTGCGTACACACATTTTGCAGTAGTGAGGCAAGCATTGAATTTTACTTGGAATTAACCAACAGATCAACTCTTCCACCAATTCTTAGGCTTTTGTGGTTTTATGGTAGATTATCTCATTCAATTGCCAACAAACATATTATACCTTGTTTGAATAAATTCTCTATACAACTTTGAGTTTGATGATGTAATAATGGACATGCAATCAACAACTGGAGTGAAGAGAAGAAATTGACAATGAGATCCCTGTGCAAGTGATTGCTTGTAAACCGGTCTCAATAGCTTCAATGTGGTTATGATAGAATTATAACTTTGTATGTTTTCCCCTTTAAAAGGCATTCCAATATTTTCATCTTGCTTTGTCGATGTAATTGATGGAAATGAGTAGAAAGGCCAACCATCAGCATCTAGGAATCAATGATATTGAACAGATTGAGATGTATTGTTTCAGGGATTTATCAAACAATGGCTTAATCAGAGAAGTGCAGAACTTCTGTCTCAGCTAGTCTTATTGAAGAAAATGTAAGTGCCAAGTGTATTTTGAAGGGTTCATTTCTTCTTTTACCTATTTCTTTTATTTGGTTATACTTATACATATAATGGACTCTTAGTCAAAGAAGGGATTATGATGACACAAACTGAAGGCACAAATTGGATAAAATGAGCTCACTTTTGTTCTTATTTACTTGTGCTTTGTCTTCTTACTTTATAATACATGTGTTCTTAATAGATTACTTATAAATTGATAACTTTGGATTTGCAGTCAAAGTTTAGCTTGTTAGTAATTCTATTTTAGTGATTTTAGTGGGACCTTCTGAAGAACTCCTTGTCTTCTTACTCTGCTAACATCTAGGTGGAGATGGGGAATGCAATGAAAACAGAATGATTGGAGCTGGAATTCAGTATATTTCAGTGTTAATTAAAGCTGGTAAGTCCTTGTCCTCCAAATTCTTTCTTTTCTTTACACTAATTACATTTTCTTCAGGTTGCTTTGTTCTAACTTATTTTGTTTCATTCTTGTTTCTGACATATTTCATCATACTGCTCATATTACTACCAGGAAAACGTTTACAAGAATGCATGTAGGGGTTCATTTTTTTCATTTTGATTCATGTCTTGAAGCAGATGCGAACAAGATTATATGCTTCACTTTCTAAAATGCAAGGAGCAGTTAGAGATAGAGAATGTGAATGAGAAAAAAAGACATACATCAAAAGAAAAGGTAGCGATTACGAAGCACAAATTAAACCGTGTTGATTTGCATTTCATTTATTTTGATTTGATTCATTTCTAAAGAATAAGACGAATCTTTGTTTCTTCAGTGCCTCTGTTCTTTGCCTTGGAAAGCTATGGCAGAAATCCGCTAAGGCTGATAAGGTGTCTTCAAGTGGACGCTGTAATATGTTTCAGTGTCTGAACCTGTACCTGTTTCATTCTCATTTGTTCTCCATTTTCTTCTTGTATTACTTGTTTCATTCTCATTTGTTCTCCCTTTTCTTCTACCACTACCAGGAAAACGTTTACAAGAATGCATGTAGCAGTTCGTTTGTTTCATTTTGATTCATGTCTTAAGCAGATGTGAACAAGATTTTATGTGTTTCATGGATTTAAAAATGATAGAAAGTAGTACAATAGCTTAATCCAACAGGATAGTGCTTTCAATATTGAATTAAATAATTTGAGACTGTTGTATAGAACTATAACATGCCAAGTCTTATTCATTGTAGCAGCAACTTCTTGTTGCTGCTGAACTTCTTGTAAAGATAGTTTCACGGATAAAAATAATTTTCACATTTTTCCCCAAAAAAAAATCGAATTGAACAAATTTATTAAAGAACATAATAGAGAACTTAGACCCCTTAAGAGTTTTCTTCATCTTTTAGCAGTTAAGCTACTCAATGCATCTTCCATCTAATTGTGCACCACCATTTTCAAAATTTTAAACACTCAAACTCCACCTAACAAACTAAATTTCTCATTTTTTAAGAAACATCATACTTTTAGGATCTTAAGCCTGCAACACCCAAATGTTCCAACACCTGATCTGAGATGACCGATAAGTTATATCCAAACTGCTAATTTGTCAACAAGCATTGCTCACAAAGATGGTCCATGTACATAAGGCAAGCCAACTCAAGTTATCAAAATGACAATTCTTCATTGATCTTAAGCCTTAAAAAACTCATAGATACAGTTGTGCATCAGATTAAATAATGTGTCAAACATAAGAGAAAATTATAGACCTCGAGCTGGCAATACATGATACTAAAATCAGCTAAATTATATAAGGCTTTAACATGCTGCTAACAATCAACAATAAGGAATTAAAAAGTGAAAATTTTAGACCTCAAGCTCAGCAGATTTCATAGCGATTGGGATGCAAATTAGGAAGACACCAAACATTGCAACGGCGGTGTTGCGATGCCAGTGCTTGGGCCGGCAGTATGGACCACCCGACATGCTCCAGACCTTCGTCCTAAAATCCTCAGCTCCATGTCCCTGTCCATGCTCAGCTCCTCCCGTCTCTGCTAATTTACTCGATCGATTGACTGAGATCTCCTTGTTCGACTGCAAACACGAGTTTTCCAATCAGAGAAAACTGGAAGCATAACCCTAATCTTCCGATTGCATCTGTTCATAGATGGAAGCATAATACCGATTAAGGTAGACTTACGCGACACGGCGCAGAGAGAGATTAACGGTTGTGACTCACCGGAGAGAATTGCGAGGATGAGGCCGTCGCATGCGAGAAGGGAGGACTGAGTTTTTGCCTTCTGACTATCGGATGTCTCCGGTGGGCTTTAAGGCCCAGTGTTTTTTAGGGCTTGAATTTTTTTGGAACAAAGAGCCTGATTAGGCCCTAGGTTTGGAAAGTCCATTTCACTTGAAAGTTGAACTTTCTTTATCCATGAATTGTGGACCTTAAAGCAGAGCACAAAGTCCACTTTAAAATAGTAAAAAAAAAAAAGAAGAAGATAATTATCGAGGTTACACACAGCGTTTCTTACGGTGATTATCCTTCATAATCTGAACACACGCATAATTAGTAGTTAGTAAATTATTTAATCTAT